ATCTTTGCTCACGTGTTGATCCATCAACTGAAATCATTTCAATGACATCAATTATAGGTGAGAACATCAAAATCAAACTAATCAAAGTACGATAATGCGATCCCCAACGTGTCTCACCAAAACGCACAATAGTACTTTGTTGATTAAGACCCCGTCCACTTGAAATGTCACAATTACTGAGTGCTTCAGAAATTATGGCTTCGTGTTTCTTTCGAAGAATATCACAACGTTTAGAAGAAGCTCCAACAATATTCACCACGCTAGAAACCAAATTAAAGAGTGACTGGACCTTCTTGTTCTTTTTTGCTATGGCTACAAGAGCTAATTGTAGTTGATGAGCAAAACAATGAATATAAAATGCACTTGGATTCTCTTTCAAAATAAGTGTTTTGAGACCATTGAACTCGCCTTGCATATTACTCGTCCCATCATAACCTTGACCTCTCAATCTAGATATACTCAATCCATATCTTGAAAATAATTTATCTATAGCCGCTTTGAGTGATAGAGCTGTAGTACTGGAAACATGTTTAATCCCAATAAAATGTTCAACCACATGTCCCATCTTATCCACATAACGTAAAACAATAGACATTTGCTCTTTCACTGAGATATTTTGAGATTCATCAACTAAAATTAAAAAGAATGCATCATCAATATCCTTAATGATAACATCAATCATTTCAACAGCTGCAACACTTACAATATCCTTCTGAATGTTGGTGATGTTAGTTTGTGATTTTTGGAGCATTTTTCAAAGTGACAGCCTTAATCCCTTCATTATGATCAGCTAGAAACTTCAACTGTTCAAGAAAGTTACCTTGATTATTTGACTCATCACACTCATCATGACCGCGAAAAGCTTGTCCTTAGCGTAAAAGAAGTCGAACACAATCAATGGATGCATTCAAACGAATTCGATATATACTCCGGGCTTGTTTTGACTGCTTGAAGAATACTTTCTCAATATGTTGTTTTTGATTCATCAAGGCTTCACAGTTGATTCGGACTTGATTGTGTGCACTATGAACGTCTCCAACATGAACTCCAAGTCTATCCTTCCTTTTAAAATTTTGGAACCCTTCTTTCACAAAAGCATCACCACCTCCTTGTTCTCCATTGTTTGGTCCACAAATATAACAATATAAGCAAAATGCATCATTCTTACTTATACTGTATTCTAACCAATCACCATATTCATTGAACCAAGTAGAAATGAATCGCCTTCATTTTTTACGTGGAAACACATGGCTCCGAGGCTGACACGGACCTCTCTGCAAGTATGCTCTTCTTATTTGATCTTGAAGATTAACATTGAAATTCAGTATTGGGTTCTTAATCCGGGATCCGTGGGAAGTTGTGCAATATCAATATGCTCAATACTTGCTTCCTTTGCTTCATCATTTTCTTAGGGGAAAAGAGTGTCATCAATACTTGCTTCCTTTGCTTCATCATTTTCTCCAATAGCAGCATCCTCAATCCTTGCTTCCTTTGTCTCGACATTTTCCTCAATATAAATCTCATCAATGCGTTGTTTCTTTGTCTCAACATTTTCTTCAATAGAATTCTGAGATATTCGTTTAAAAAATCTCAACATATCTTCCTACAAAGAATTGGCAAAGGTGAGATAACAGTACTGATCATTAGTCATTAGTAAAAAGACAATAGATAAGGCTCCACAACTTCACACCATATTTTACTACTGAGAAAAGATTTCATTACAGGTAACATCCAATTAAGGGCCTTAATTACTTCTTCGTAAGAGTTTGGTTCATTCTCAGTTACATCTAGATAAGTAAGTAATGAAACAAAATCAACACTTTCAAAGTGGAAAGATCATGTTTAACTCCAGTACCAGTAAAGAAACATCACCATCAGTTTGATTTGTTTTTTATCTACTTTCCAGAAGTTCATTATTTTCCAAATGAAGAGTCTCCACCTCAATTTCAATTCTTTAATACAGAGCAAAACAAGCTGACCATAAGTTCACCATCAATTTTTTGAGACAGAGCATTAGAGACTCATTCAAAACAACATATCTCCTGAATCCTGATAATAACTTTAAATACTCTTTAACTCTAGTTGAGCAGAATCAAAATTACAATCAATTTTAAACCATAACACAAAGCCGTCAAAGCATGATTTCAATTACATACAAACTCAAATGCTCAGAAGTGATTAATTTAAATGAAAGATTACTAAACATTCTACAAGAAAAATCATTGAAAATGGAAAAAAAAAAAGACAATGAATGCCTTCAAGGCTTCAAGCTACAAATAATATAATCAACATCCAACACCGTTTCTTTGAGGCTAAACTATTCAAGAAACTTGCATTGACTAAATTATACCTTGTGTCTAAGTTCTAACTGTCTCAGACTCTCGTGAATTGATGCAAGGGAGAAATGAATTGAGCAGCAGCAACAGTCGATTCTGAACTCCGAAGGTCACCAAAGGCTTGACTTGTATTGCGAACGCTCACTGGGAAGAATTGGAGAACACGCCAGTCACGGGTCTTCAGTCGGGAGAATTGGGGAATGAAAAGGATTTGAATTGGGAACGAAAGGGAATTGGGGGAAAAGGGAAAGGAAAAGGGAAAGGGAAAGGCTACTGGGCTTCTTTCAAAAGACGGGCTTCGGTGGGCTTCTTTTTTTTTTTAAGGAATTTTTTTTTTTGCCCACTGGGCGCATAGAAGACCATTTTTTTTTCTGGCCCAGTGAGGGCAGTTGCCCCCACTGGGCCCTTAATGGGTCCACCCCTGGTCCGACTAGAGATTTACTTGAAAGTATTATCGTAGGTGACAACAAGAGCTTTTAACATCACTGGAAGGAGAGAAAGAACTGCAGTTTTTCGAGTCTCTGTATTGGTAATATACACAGGCAGCAGTGAGCAAACTTGACTCCGCAATTGTTCACTGATAATCTACACTCTTTGGATTCTGATCTCTGCACGTTCAATATCAACTTCAACCTTATACTCATCACAAAGTTGCGTTAGAGGCTTTGCTCTCATGTCGAAATCAATTATATCAGAATCCTAGTATAAGCTTGTAGAAATGCACCACAGGGCACCAGCTCTATCTTAATGAATTGAAGAAATGGTCACAGTGTAGCCATTTAAGTCTTTTCACCACATACAGGTATTAAATGCTCCGGGATAAAAATTTTACAAACTAAGATTCCTTGGGCATCAGTGTGAGGACTAAAAGATGACAGGTGAATATGGAGAAAAACACCAATTTATAAACAGTTAAGACATGTACGTAAATTCAATATAAATAGAAAAACAAGGAGTAAAAATGTACTGTGAGTTATATGTGTTGCGTCAGTCATTATAGGTCATGTAGCCATCCACCAACATGGCACCTCTAGACCTACGGACATTTTGTAGCAGACCATATTAACATATCATCCGTGAAGGCCAAAACTGTTGCAAGAAAGCAAGCATAAATAATGAATACAACTTGGAACAACTACCCACAAGGTCAGGTAGAGCTGCCGAGTTAAAATGCCACAATGCAACCCATAGGAAGGCTGAGCTCAAGAGCATGCAGCTTGGCTCCATGCCTCTATCAATGCACGAAGGCTTCTAGGGTTATACAAGGACGCCCAACTTCAACTTCTCAAGTAAACCACATTAGCCTGCAAGTAGTAAGCTCTGTCAATGAGGCTCAGCTCGATGTCATAAGAGAATTGAGCTAAGAGAATGCCAACCCATCTCCTGAGGCGCTCAGCTTGGGATTAACGTGTTCCATGCTCCCATAGTGCATGGTATGATTGGAATCAGGGATGCAGATGAAACATGTCTGGCACCTAAAATTGGGAATAGGCTGCTTGGACTTTCAAAAGATGTGACCATTATACCTTCCTACTAACAAAGGGCTCCAACCCTCTCTCATTTATAAATGCCCTTAATCTTTCACTTCAGGTATAAAGTATTTTAACATAGTACACATGTTCTCCCAAATTATCAGCTCATCTTAACTGACTTGATTGTTGAACTCTAGTCGGTTACCCCCTTACCTCCAATGGCTGATGACTAGTAAAAGCTAAGACGTGAGTTTAAACATTATTATACTTTATGACATGAATAGAAAATTAAAAGGTCAACTAAACACGAGAATAATAATATGCAAGCTTGGGCACAACCAGCTCGAAAATAATTTTATTGACCTCTATTGCATATTGGTTACAATATAGATATGACATGGCAAAAATAGAGTACACATGAAGTTGTCATGCCAAGTAATCGCTTTCCAGAATTCATGGGTACGAAAATGCCTTTCACCTCTTTTGCATGTGGATATCTTGAACAAAAGCATAAGACTCCCACATAACCCATTAAAATTGTTCCAAAGGAAGCTCCAATATGAGCTTTCATTTGACAATTACAAGTTAGCAAATGCAATAAGTAATTCATAACCTTCTGATGTTCACAACTTCACATCAATTGTTACCTTCATAAGACCTCCCTTTGTCATCTCATCCTGTAACAGTGAAATACTAACAGTGTCAAGCTGCTCAGTGTATCCTCTAACTAGGAGGATATCATAAATGTTGTTAGAGTCACAATGTCATGTTTGAAACCTTGTGCTAAAAATTCCTTGTACTCATCTAATGCAGCTTTCAAATTACCCACCTTGAAATATGCACACATAAGTGTAGCGAATATCATATTATTCGGAGGTAATCCGTTCTTGACCATATGATCCTTAACTCAACTGCGCCTTCCAGTTTATCCCCAGCACAAAGCCCACATATAAAAGCCCCATAAGTCACTATATCAAGTCTAATGCCCCTTGCAAGCATCTCAGATAAATACTTAAGCGCCCTATCCATATCGCCTCTCTTAAAATGCCTATCAATAATCAAAGTATAAATAGCAGAATCAGGTAACAACCCATCTTTCAACATTTTCCTAACTAATCCCTCACCGTGAGCAACATCCCCTGCTTGCAAAACCCCTCAATCAATGCCACATATGTAACGACATTCGGGAAAACTGAGCATGCACTCATATCCTTGTACAAATTAAATGCTATTTCCAAGTCATCAACCTTACAATACGCATCAATCAACAAAGTAAAGACAAATAAAAATTGGGTGAAACCCCACCTTTTCTCATGTCCCTGAACACCATAAGACCCATTCCCAGATCACCTAATCTTACAATAATTAACAAGCAAAGTGCAGTAAATAATGTTATTTGGCACACAAACTTTGCACATCAAATTCATGTATGCAAGCTCATATTTCACCATTTCACCCTTACAACCCCCGTCTTAAAATTATTAAGCTAAGCAACTCAATTCTTTATAAGTTAGTCTATATTTTCATCTTTATTCGATATGAGATTTTATCTCTTAACAGGAATCAATGAGAGTGGAAAGATGAGGGAAAATTCTTCTTTTCAAATGGTGGAAGAAGAATTGGAGAGCCTCTTTAATCATGCATAAAGGATTCAATATTCATCACAATTTATGTTTTGCAATCCTCGAACATTACAACTTGTCTCACTTGGATCCCTATTTATTTTTCGTTAGCATTTAGGTCACCTAGCTATCTTTTTCGCTGCAAGCAAGGACAAATACATGGAATTCATTCTCCAAACCCAATCCCAGCCCAAACAAAGAACCCAAGCCCAATCAACCCAAAATGAAAGGTTTAATTACACCATAGACCTCCCTTTTTACTAAAAGTTCAAAGGGGTAATTGACGCAAAACGTCCCTGCCTTTGAAGGTTTTTGTGGAAAACGTCCCTATCTTTCGTTTTTTGGCGCAGAACGTCCATACCTTTCACATTTTTTGCGCTTAACGTCATTTTTACCAATTTTTAATATAAAATTACCATTATACCCTCCTATATAAATAAAACAAAAAAAGAAAAGAAAAGAAAAATAAAGAATAAATTTCAATCTGCTCCTAAATTTTTTTAAAAATACAAATCAGTCCGGAACACTCATGGTCGCGGACCACACCGGCACACCTAGCCCAACCATGGGTCTAGGTCAATTTTGACCTGAAGCCGTTCAATTCGTGGGAGAAATACTATGTTCCGAAAATTGTAATTTGATTTCGACCAGAAGTTCTAACGAATCAAGGCAAAATTGTGGAAGACCCATGGGTGGAATAGCTTCGCCATTATGAGAGGGTGTTAAATGGAGTGGTCCGCGACCATGGGTCAAATGGACGACTCCGAAATCAGCCAAGTTCGGTGCGCGGCGCGATATTCGTGATTGCGTTATTTTCAGTTTCAAATTGAACCTATTGGATAAGTGTTTTGGATGAATTGCCCACATGGCTGAGGTCGTCTGAGTGTGGGCAACCGGATGGTGGTGGTCTGTGATCCTGATGCTGGCAGGAGGTGCAACTTCCAGCAATTGTCCATTTTTCGAGTGGCTGATTTTGCTTGTTAATTTTTGCCGGATTATTGGATGATATGGGGAATTCTTGGGATGGAATTGTAGAGGGTGTTGAGGAGATTGTGTTGGTACCAATGTCCAGAAGTTGTGGCGGTGGAGAAGAGTAGATGTTGTCATCAGACGGTGGAGGTGGTGGAGGAGAAGAGAAAGTGTTTTCGTTATTTTTAATATTTTCATAAGTTTTGGACTGATTGCATTTTTAAAAAAGTTTAGGAGCAGATTGCAATTTATTCTTTATTTTTCTTTTCTTTTCTTTTTTGTTTTATTTATATAGGAGAGTATATTGGTCATTTTATGTTAAAAATTGGTGAAAGGGACGTTCAACGCAAAAAATGTGAAAGGTAGGGACGTTCTGCGCCAAAAAACGAAAGGTAAGGATGTTTTCCACAAAAACCTTCAAAGATAGGGACGTTTTGCGCCAATTACCCAAGTTTAAAGATATCCTCTTTTAATTTTTATCCTATATTTAAATAATACTTATCAAAATACCTCTACTTTCTATTGTATAATCCTTATCAAAAAATAATCATTTGCCATTGCAAATTCATATAAAAAAATTATTATAATTCTGTCTCTTCAATCTTTTAAATCATAACACCATCAAATCTAATGGCTTCATTGTCAATTGTTGTCATTGTTCGTAGTTGTCGCCAACCACCAACCGTTGCCATAACTACCAATGTTTTGAGGGATTTTAACTGAAGAGATATATAGTATAGAGTACAATTAGATTTACAATTTGTTTAATTAGGTAACTAAACTAAATATGATGAATTGTTGTAATTTATATTTAATCTCATGTATTTTTCCAAATTTTGAACATTGGCATATTTTGTCATCTTCCTATCTCGTAACCTTGTACTTGTCAATTTTCCAAAAAATTAACCCAACTAAATACCCAATCCAACACTGAATCTAAACCAAAACTAAAAGGGGAAATATCAAAGATGTGCTCATATTTAAAACTAATTCCGAACATACTACACTTAAATTTTGATCAAAATTATACAAACAACCATATTGAGTGTTATTACAATTTGTGATAGTTTGAAATAAACAAAATGTGTAGCATCCATAAAATCGAGCATAACTTAGCCAATATAGAGCACAAGGAAGCAAACAAGTCGACGAACTACACATCGCATCTTAAATTTCATGGCAGAATAAGCCTTGGGTGCAGACTTTTGATCTCCAATACAAACAAAATTTATGTATATTAACATTGCAAGTACAAATTTCATCAAATTGACCAGTGCCAAACACTTAGTTTGTTTTTTTTTTTTCAAACTCATTTTCAATCACACATTTTATGGGACTCACAAATTTATCAACTTTTCAGTCACACATTAATCAACTTTTATCAAAATCTAAATCTTATTTTCTAGCTAAACCTAATGGTAAATAATGAAACAAATCAAATGTTTGGATTCTTTTAGACAACGTCTACTTTGTTGTTTTTTGAAATTAGATAGACTCCCTGCACTATGATGCCTCTAAATCCTAAATAGTTCTTGTTATAGACTCGGTTACTTAACTATACTGATCTTCCAATTAATTATTAATTAGACTAAGTGATAGGGGGCCATCCTGAACATGTTTGTTGACCCCAAAAAATGCTGCCAACAGATGCCGGGCCCACTCGTGCGCACGCAAGCTTGATCCAACACGCTAATGCCGATCAACGGTCAAGATGGCTCCAGAAAACAAGCGTGGGAGTGGCTCTAAGGCACGAGACGTTTCCGTTCAAACTTCCAGCAAGAGAATGTAACACGATTGTATAAGAAACCAATCGATAAAGAACAATGTGTAGTAGAAAATGTGTTGTAAAGATTACTGTTGAAACGAGAGAGATTGCTCCAAATGTTAGTTTTTCCTTCAGAATTTGCATTAGTCCTCTCTATGTTACATGGTGGGGGTATTTATAGTGTTACAAGATAAATGGTGACCTTTGGATCGATTTACACGTGGCCTCATCTCCTCGACCAAGACATCAAGTCCTAGTTATCAAGTTGACTCTCCTAGCCTTACAAATCATTGAATGCTCTTACATTGACAAGACAAGACACAAATAAGCTTTACATAAGAGTCACGTCAATCATTCACATAGAGATTTTCATCATGAGTGGATCTTCACGCGTGGGTCTTTAGTAGCTGCAAGGGAGCCTCGGACAGTGCATGTTCACCGAACCGTGGCTTATAGTTAACAGCAGTGGCCTCGGAACAACGGCGATGGCCTCGGAACCCACGTCTGAGGCTATGAAAATATACCCTGATTTAATTAGGCTGGTCCACTGCTAAAATATGGTGCCACGTGTCTCTTCCATCTATGACCCGTAACAATAGTCCCCCAAGTCCATGTGTGGTTATTTATGCCAGGCGTGGACTTTCACTAAGTCAGAAAAAATTTTAATTTACCGTACTTCACAATGTTGTTGTCAATAAGTTTAAACTTATACTTAACTAATTAATTGGATTTGTTGAGGACAAAGATTTTTAGATAACTTTGTTGGTTGGTTGCGTAAACGTCAACATGTATAAAGCATATTAACAAAGAAATAGCCAACGGGATGCCCACATGAATAATAATATATAGTTTTCTATCAAATAGGATTTGATTAGATATATGGTATTAAGTCGGATGAATCGCATGCACCTACTGACGAGTTGAACAAAGATTTTCTCCCTTCGAATCATCCGAGTTAACTCATGAGCTCATCGGCTCGTGCTCGTCTAGCATGGTGAATCAAGTCGAGCCCAATTAATACCGCCAATGAGTACCTATGAACTTAAATTTTTGCTTTGAAGGGTCACTCTATATAATTTAGTTGACTTGGCAAATAAATTAAAAACGCGGTTATGCATGATAAATTTCTGAATCAAATTTATTTATGCCATGTCCAATAAGCATGATGCACTACAATTTTTCCTTGTATTCAGATGTTTCATCTTTTCTATGACAAATAAGTAGATTATATTATATAACTTATGCCTATAAACGGTGTTTTTGTAAAAAATATAATCTAGAACCTAATTATTATTGTATCGTGGCCCATCAATAAACTAACAGCTCGGAATCATAATGTCACTAGAAGCGTGACATTGCTCAGGAGAGAAGATTGTGTCGATTAAGATGGATACTCACATCCTCATGGTATGTCGTTAGTTTTCATGATAGATGATGTATTATTGTTGACGAGTCTGCACGTTTGTACTACGGGTATTAGCTTGACATTGATGCGCGATATATGGTGAAATGTACGCCGATGGCTCATAAACTCCCAAAAATGCCAATCAAGAGATTTTCACCATAAATTTTCAACAAGTGGATGGAATTCTTATAATTTGTTGATTATAAGCGTGTATACTATTGGTAGAGTATGACAATTTTATATAACAATTAAAAACACTAAAATTTATCTTGTATTGATATAGTACTGAAGTCACCTGTATCGAGAGGTTATACTTACATCAATTAATATGTCTAAAATGTTGCATACTTATTTACAAAATTAGACTCGATCTAATGTATTGGTAAAATACTTTAAAAAAATTAATGAGGCGTTTGATTTGCTGTTTTTAAGTTATTTCAGCTTTTAATTTTGCAAAATACACAAAACTTGTCTGATCTTGTATTTTTCGAAAACAAAAGTTAAACCGTTAATATAAAACTCCCAACGTAAAATTGTAATTTTGAGTTTTTCAATGAAAATGTCGAAAATACTCAAAATAAGGAAACTAAGCGTATAAAGAAATCTTATTTAGATAAAATTCTTAAAAACAAAAATATAAAATTCTAAAAAACTAATATTTAAAATAACTATTCCGAAAAAAATAAAATTCTAATAAATTAAACAAAATAAAAAAAATTCAAGATCTTATTGATTATTTAAAAATTCTAAAAAATATATTTGAATGAACACAAATAAAAATTATTTGTTCAAGTCGTTAATTTTTATTTTTACTTTTTATGTTTTGCCAACTTTTATTTAATATTTTTTAAATGTTTGTAGTGGAAAAAATATTTTAATCAAACTTTAAATTGTATACATTACTTGATAATATATTAACATAAAATCATAATATTTTACTGAATAATCAAATTATGGAATAAAATGTCATAAGTTTTTTGCCATAATTTCAAACAAAACATGTTTTTCATTTTATAATTTTGAGAAAAAAATTCCAGAATGACAAACCAAATGTTAGAATTTTTTAAAATGTACCAAAATATAATATACTAAAAAAAATACAGACTTGACGAATTTCTAAAGAAGTGTCAAGAAACTCGTTGTTGCACCCACGATCCTTGTCTCCTCGAGTAAAAAAAAATGTGTTGTAAGCATTTCACTAATGTTAATGACAAAATACCAATGATTCCCAACCTCTGGATATGATCTAAGTCCATGTTTAACTTTTCATTATAATTGTACAATCAGTCATTCATTATCAAAACCAATGAGTATATTAAACAGTCACGTGTCCTCGCACATCCTATTTTATAAGTTTACATTTTGCTTTCGAACTAATTGGTGTCAAAAACCCAAAGTGAATCGTGTTTGCTCATGAGGTCCGACAATTTAAAAAGTATTTGGATGGTATTTACCACTAATTGTACCGTAATAATCTGAGAACGAGTACCAACTTGCTTCATATTAAAGGCTGAGGGCTAATTTATTACTAGAAAAGTAGATAGAGAGCTATTCGTTCAAATTTTCCAGATATCTTTTGTTGTTTAATGTATACCACTGTCTGATATATGCTATTTTCCCAAAACATACAACTAATCGCACCTCATACGCACACTAAAATGACTCTCTCTCTCTCTCTCACTCACACACACACACACAGAGAGAAAGACACACTATTCCAAACTGTCCCTATCTCTCTCAAATACTAACTAATAGAACACGCTCACACCCAAACAAATATTTGTATCCTTATCCTTAACAAAATAAAACAGCCAGTTGGGGAGGCACTGTTCATGCCAGATGTCAAGAATTTGAATCGTCAACCAACACGACGCCGTTTTGTTAACTGCCTTTTCCTACTATTTCTGCCCTATTTTGTCTGCTTACCATTATCAATCACCATCTTCTCCTCCAGATTTCAGTCTGTAGCAATACAACCGCCAAGAAATCGTAGGAAATTCGGCCGATCAATCTGGAGTATTTTAGAATTGGTTTTCTAATAGATAACTAATTTAGTTAATGTTTATCTTGGATTAAAAATTGTGTAGTGTGTTTCTGCGACAACTTTGTGATTAATTTCTGTTTTCAAATAATTTGGCTGCATTCATACAGCCAACTTTATGTATTGCCCGAGGGGAGGCACGCTCATGCCTCCGTCACCGTGCTCATAGGGTATTTTCTCTGACCTTGTATGAAGCTTACAGGCTGATATCCACAGGGTCCTCTGACATGGAAGTGCGTGAGATGGCTGCATGCTGTTCCACTGCTTTTCTTTCATGCCGAATCAGGATTTTGTGATCTTTATTTTTAGCTGATCTGTGATGTGTCTGTATAAAATTCGCTTAAGCACCTGTTTCTGCTTTAGTTGTTTCCAACTGCCAATCGTATTGTTAAAAGTCACATCTTTCTAGGTTTCAATTCTTCCACCTACTGCTACCTTTTCTTCCGATTGTCTTTGGGATACTAGAAGTTATATGTGAGCCACGAATAACAGATTAGATAACACTAACACACATTGAATGATCCATCTTGTCTATAGAGTCAAGGGGAACATAGTCTAAAGTTCTATTTATATTTGCAATTTCTGTACCATATCGTAGGTAGTCTGAGTACCTTCACCCCACATGCATGTACTTTTGCTTATATTTTAGATGCAGAACTAATGAAGACTTACAAGGTTTTATAAAGTTATTCTTTTCCCAGACATTATGGCACCATATTGTATTCTAACTTTAAGGGATATTGTTAAACATTTCCCAGAATAAATTACAGGGATCAGAATTTCAAATGCCACGTGAACTAACATCACATGTAGGTGCAAAAGACTTGTCCTCTATGCCTGCTCCAAGGAAGTTGATCCGGCCATCCCCTGCTGTAATTCCACCAACCCCTCCCAAGAATGTGCCGCCACCACCTCCTCCCAAGAGAATGCCTCCACCCCCTCTCAAGAGCATGCCTCCACCGCTGCCTCCGCCGAAGTTCAACTCAACTCCTAAAATTCATGAGACCAACAGCAATCTGCACAACTCAAAATCCGAACCCATCCCTGGTACTTCCACTTTTGCCTCTATATTATTGTTCCTATAAGAAATTTTTTTGGAGTGGCTTCTTGAGCATATGCTGGGACTGTTCCAACATATGAAACATTTCTTGTCCCATGCTTTTCTATCTACTAGCGGCGGACGAAATCTGTGATGCCTTTATCTGTTTATTTAATTTACTTCTCATTTGTGTTTGTTGGTGTAGATACTTTAATCAAGCTTATGGAATATGGAGATGACGACGACGACGAGGAAACCATCGGGGAGCCCTCTAAAAGCCTTTCAAGTGCACCTAAACCTTTCTGGGCTTCCTGAAATATGTTCGTCCTTTCGCCAAGCACTAGCACTGACTCGCATGAGACCTTTGTGAAAGTATATTTTCTTCGTCTTGAGCTTTGACAGCTGAATAAAAAGGATAAATTAGCCGTTGCTGATATTATATTTACAACTACTTGCTCTCCTTCAATTGAGGTAGTTAATTTTGACCCCTTTTTGTGGCTTTTGGCTACTGCAAGGACAGGGAGGATATGCTACATTTTGTACATATACAATGCAACGACAAGGAGACGTATATCCAACACGACGTGTGTTAGACATGTCGACACATAATTTTTTGATTACGTATTAATGCAACATGTCGTCGACAAGTTGATTAAATTTTTAAAATAATTAATAATAAAAAATCCCTAGAAACGTTTCTATTTGTGATATACCCCATATCTATTGAAAATTGTAGAAAATCTCATATTTGAAACCTTCTGTGCAAAAAACTTACTGTCATCAACATCGGTCAGATTTTTCGTTAAAAATAGTACAAAATGTCAAAATTAAAAATAAATAATTGCAATTTTATTATTCAAATTTTTGTTTTTTTTACAAATTAAATCCAAATGTTTTGTGTGTTATCGACCATTCCAAATTTTTAGAACTTTATTTTTCACCTTACTCCGTCTTACCCCTACTTCATCTTCTTCCCTTTTTTTTTCCACTCATAAAACCAATTAAATTAAGAATAATGCTACTTGCAGTTACTCACTGCAGCAGTCGCCCTATATGACACACACATGTCAAGTGTGTTTGATGCATTAAATGTGGTAAAAAACTACCACATAAATGTATCAAATAACTACATGTCATGTGTGTGTCACATAGGGTGACTGCTGCAGTGAGTAACTGCAAGTAGCATTACTCTTAAATTAATATAATTTGAATTCACGTCTCCCTTATTTTGAACTAGGGATGGCAAAAAAACTCAATTCAATCAAAATCTAGGGATGGCAAAAAAACGTGTTCAACCCGATACCTATGGAGTCCTACCTCGAATAGGGCTGAGATTACCCACAAAATCGAGTAAACGGGGTGAGGACATGACGATGATCATTACCTCGAAGCAGGTACGGGGCGGGTATGAGAAACATAGTCTCTGCCCCGTTACTCACCCCGTTTAAAGTTAATTTCAAATTTATATTTTTTAACAAATAAAAATAATAGATTTATCATCATTTTTAAAGAGTATAAATTTTTTTAACAAATTAGTAGAAAAGTAATAATATTTACTAACTAAATACATAAAAAATAAGCATTCTCCTACTTTTGTTGCATAATTGGTGATTGATATAATCTAAGGTTGTTATAACTGGTATCTGACCTTCTTTGCTAGGATTTAATACAAGACATACGCCAATGTTGTTGCTTCCCATTTCCCTCCCAAACTCTCATTTCCCTTGATTCTGAACCTTGCCTACTGTACAATTACAGAGAAAAGGATTTTGGCCTGCCAATTATTGGCCAAAATTAGTTTAAACTTCAATCATGTAGAAGCAAAGTTCAATTGGACCAGGTTTTCGAAAAGAGAAACTTAGTTCATGTTTGGTCTATACTACTTATCAAGAATGAAGAGTTGGTGAAGTGAATTATGTTGTAATGCCCCAAAAATATCATATTCACCAAGCAAAAATGTTGCTACATTGATTTTAGATTCCAAACAAGTAGATCAAAACCATTTTCTTATTAAAAGCTATTCATTCAAAAAACTAGCAAAAATTATTAATTGCCAAATTAAAATTTTTTGTACTACATTCGTTGTAGATATCATACACGCTATTTAATACCGAAATAAACTCAAAGACGTGCATTGCACGTGCCTCCACTAATTTTTCCAAAAAAGAAAGCAGTTAGATCTAAATTCTAGACTATTATATATGTCACGTGTATCTCTCATACATGTAAACTTTGCTTAATTTCTCTAGTTCAAATCTAACACCTTCACAGTTACATTAGGCGAGTTGATGATCTTCGAGTCGGGACATTCTCATGTATGTAGATAGGTTTCAAATTTTCTAATGGAAAACTAACTATTGCACAATTTCATTAGATGAGTCAATAGATACTTGTAATGGACCTTCTCTAACGTGCATATAGTGCTCATTTTCTCATCAAAACTTAACTAACGTGTGCATGGTGCTCAAATTTTCTCAACGAAATACTCCTTTTTTTCATTCCAAATTCAAGAATACCATCGATACGATTGATTGGTTTATGTGCCTCTCTTATACTTTTTTGTATCCCTATTCTTCGAATACAATTGGATCCTTTTGCAAGCACAATTTCATAGATGAGTCGAGGAATACTTAACTACTACATAATTCTATTAGATGAGTCAAGAGATACTTGTGTGAGATTCTCGTGAGACTTGTATATGGTGCTCAATTTATTTATTGAATCTCGGCAACGCACAATTTGATTAGACCCTTTTTTTATTTTCATTATTTTTAAAATAAATTTTTCTTTTTTGCTCGATCCTATATTCTTTAATAAAATAATATTACACGTAAATTCAAAAATTTTTCTTATTTTTTAACCACATTTTTTTAATCAATTTACTATTTTAAAATGCATTTTTAAAATAAAATAGGGCTCAAAAATAGATTGATACTTGAGTCAAGACATATATAAGGTCATTAAGCCCTATTTGACACCCACTTTCTTTCTTCATTTCAACGACACATTTTCTAAATAAAATAATATTACACAAAAATTTAAAAAATTTCATTACTTTTCAACTACATATTCTCCTATCTATCACTGTTCCAAAAAATTTCTAACCCATTTAATGGGTCAAACACTCACTAAATCTTGAGCAGTCAAGTGCACAAAACATTACTAAACACAAAAAGCACATCATTTGAGCTATCGCTCATTTTGGTTTAGGTACTGAATGTTTGACCTCGTTTTTCTCTCACTCTATATCTGAATATATATCTTCATGAATCATTGGTAAGAGTGGGGTATAATTTCTTACATTCTAGATATTGATTTGGAGGTTTTAGATACTTGATGCACGAGTGGAAAGGATTATAGATCGGAAATGGCGGATGTATCCAGCGACGGAAGTGTTAGAGCGACGCCGGAGATGAGTTCCGACGAAACGAGTAGCAATGCGCGGCCGAGCATGGCCCCGATGGTGACGCCACTAGCAGCGTCGGCGTCGTTCAAGGAGGTGAGCAAAGGTTCCTCATCGCGGCGGAGGGCATCACTCCGGCCTAGTATGGACTCGGATGACTTCATAAACCTGCTCCACGGCTCGGATCCGGTGAAGTTGGAGCTCAATCGGCTTGAAAATGAAGTCAGAGGTCAGTCTCTCCTTCTGGATCCATTAGATTTCTGTTGCGCTTTAGTACGAAACGCTGTCGTTTCATAGGAATTGCTGAAAAATAAATGGATATATAAGATGTATTGAGGTCGTTTTAATGTTTGAAACAATGGCATTTTGATTAGAATTTTGTGGTTTGCAGATAAGGAAAGGGAATTGGGAGATGCCCAATCTAAGATCAAGGCATTGAAGTTTTCAGAGCGCCTCCGTGAGAAAGCTGTTGAAGAGGTTCCATTGTCTCCTATTTTCCTTTTAAATATTAAATTTACGTTTCATGATGTTTAATTGATTTTTATGCTTTAAATGGTTAGTTTGTGTTTGTACAATGTTGTGTATTGAAGTGGGATATTCAGCATTGATCAAAAGGTTAATGGCATACATAGATAAATGGAATACTTATATTGTAAAGTAAAAAATATTGATTTTTTACGTAATTGTGGCAGAGCAGGACACCGAAAGGAAGAGCAGTTTAAGTAGCACACGGTAATGTGAAAATTGGAACTTTTTGGAGGTATGTTTAGTTTTGTGGGCAATGTGGAGTGTATGAGTTTTAGTGCATGAGGTGAAGCCCAATGAATGCGCAGAGTTAGAGAGAAACTAAAGAAACAAAGGAAATGACAAGAACATTTTTACTTAGGATTTACAAAGTAAGCTCGAACTGAACTGCAAAAAATGGTCACCCTGTTTGTCTTTCCGAGAATGTTTGCAACTGAATATAAGTTTACTTGAACTGTAACTGTAATTGAGTTTGCCACGTATCAGATGGGGGAATCCCATTTATTTATGGCTTCTGCCTTTTGATACGTGAGCTACATCTCGTTGGCAAGAAAATAGTTTCTAATAATAAGAGAATTGAAAACACGTTCTTTCTTTATTGACGATTTCCACGTTAACTACCTAAGTGGTAGCAAATTATCAAGAAAATATTTTCTTTCTGTATATATTTATTGCAGGTTCAAAGGTCCAATGACAAGTATATGATTTATAAAACAATTCTTATTCTTTATCATTGTGGTTCTCCTCATTCCGATTTGTTCAATTCTTTATGTATCATGCCAATTACTAACTCTTCGAGTTCATGTGGATCCTCTTAGTAAATTTCACTCTGTTAATCGATTTTAGTTTTAAAATAAATTTTGTTTGGGATTGCAAATGTTACGCTGATCCATATAAATGGGCACTCGGTGCTGGGATTTTAAACTGACCGTGTTCTTCTAATTTTTGCTTGTCTGTCATCCTTTATTTTGTAAACATTCTGCATGCTAAATTCGTTTGGACGTTTATTGAATACATCTCTAGAATCTTGTCAGTTTCACCTTCAGTTGCATGTATAAATACTGTCATTTTGGGAAGTGAGCTCTTTGACAGGGGCAGTAGTAGAAGACGTATTGCAAAGTATCCCATGATACCATTTGTTTCGGTATATCTAAATTATGAATCCAAGTCTACTTTTTTCATAGCTAAGGCAATTTGTAAAATATTCTCCTTCCCCCCTCCCCCTGGGAAAAAAATGTGAAACAAAAACGAGCAATTGCTAAATGGAAGCCTAAACAACACAAATAAACTGTGAGCTTTTTCTCTAGTGCTAAATGTAATTTTTTACTATGCTTACAATGTTTGATCTTGGCTATCTTTGTAAACAATCAACATGGTATTCTCTTTCTTTGTATTCTCCTGTTTCTCTTTTACATTTCCCCCCCTAATTTGTGAGATGCATGGGGTGATCCTCCCGAGTTTTTACTGTAGCTCAAAGAGGAACTGACAAAGGTGGAGAAGAAGCTCAAGCAAACAGAATCTCTTCTTGAAAGCAAGGTACCTACTAGAGCTGTCCGTTTTCTTATTAGATTTTGATGACTGTGCTAATGATTTATTGTCAACAGAATCTTGAAATTAAGAGAATCAATGATGAAAAGAAGGCCTCCATGGCAGCTCAGTTTGCAGCAGAAGCCACTCTTCGAAGAGTTCATGCTGCTCAAAAGGATGATGATATGCCTCCAATTGAAGCCATACTAGCACCCTTGGAGGCTGAGCTCAAGCTTGCTCGACAAGAGGTTTCTGTTTTGTTGTTTCTTGCTTTGATGTCTGCTTATCTGTCAAAACTGGAGACCTCGTTTTGAGAAGAGTTCCTTACTCATTGCCTTTTTGTCCCTTTTAGATTGCAAAACTACAGGACGATAACAAAGCATTGGAACGACTCACTAAATCAAAAGAAGCTGCTCTGCTCGAAGCAGAGAGAACTGTGCAAGTAGCATTGGCAAAGGCTTCTTTGGTGGATGATCTCCAAAACAAGAACCAAGAGTTGATGAAGCAGATAGAAATCTGTCAGGTATTGCAATCATGCCTACTCTTTTCATTTTTAAGGGCCAATAAAAGTTGTAATTTATATTATTCTGATTTTCCCCCTTTTCCTGACTTTAGATATAATCTAACATATGTGTATCAGGAAGAGAATAAGATTTTGGATAAAATGCATCGACAAAAAGTTGCAGATGTTGAAAAGCTTACCCAAACTGTGCATGAGCTCGAAGAGGCCGTGCTTGCTGGTGGTGCAGCTGCTAATGCTGTACGGGACTACCAGCGGAAGGTTCAGGAGATGAATGTAATATGCCACAGAGATCTGCATGCTCAACTTGCATATACAGATCGGTCTGAGAGTCCGATACAACCTAAAAAGCGTGACATTTTTAATATATGTTTTTCAGGAGGAAAGAAAGACTCTTGATAGAGAGCTAGCTCGTGCAAAAGTAACAGCAAACAGGGTGGCAACTGTGGTGGCAAACGAATGGAAAGATGCTAATGACAAAGTGATGCCCGTAAAACAATGGCTTGAAGAAAGAAGATGCTTGCAAGTATGTTTCTTCCCTTGCTACCTGGCTTCTTCTGCGCTATGATTACTGATGGTTTAGTACTCATTATTTTCAGCAGTTCTTGTATTAACTAAAGGCTTTTATCACAGGGTGAGATGCAGCAACTACGGGACAAGCTTGCTATAGCTGAGCGAACTTCAAAATCCGAAGCCCAGTTAAAAGTAATTGGCTTATTATAGGGTGTACCTGCCCGATTAGGACTTTTAACTTAGTTCCATTTCATTGAAATAATTAAGCTTTCACTTCATCCTCCAGGATAAATATCAATTGCGATTAAGAGTTCTTGAAGAGAATTTGAGATCACCAAACACGGCCAGTCGCAGCACATCTGATGTAAGAAGTACTAGCAATGGTCCTTCACGTCGCCAATCACTGGGTGGAGCTGAAAACATTTCCAAGTTGACTTCCAATGGGTTTTTAACCAAGAGGTCACCTTCCTTTCAGCTGAGATCTTCTGGGAGCAGTACTGTGTTGAAGCATGCAAAAGGGACCTCAAAGTCATTTGACGGTGGCTCGCGATCTTTGGACAGGGGTAAAAACCTCTTAAATGGACTAGGATCAAATTTCAAACAAAGTCAGTCGTGTGATGGAACTAAGGAGAGCAAGACGGAAGACAGTACTTGGAAAACGAAGCAAGAGGAAAATTCCAATGATGCACGGGTTACAGAAACAGAGGATACTGTTCCAGGGTTGTTATATGATCTGTTACAGAAAGAGGTGATTGCCTTGAGGAAAGCTGGTCATGAAAAGGACCAAAGTCTTAAAGACAAGGATGATGCAATTGAGGTTAATTTCTTAGTGATGTTATGATTAACTTCTAGTCGCTTCTTCTCAAAACCTTGTCTATCTTGTTGATCAGATGCTATCAAAGAAGGTAGAAACTTTAACGAAGGCCATGGAGATTGAAGCTAAGAAGATGAGAAGGGAGGTAGCTGCTATGGAGAAGGAGGTGACTGCCATGCGTACGGAGAAAGATCATGAAAATAGGGCCAAACGACTTGGGAATTCTAAGAATTCTCTTAACAGTTCTCAGTTACTCCCTGGAAGGTATGCCTGCTCTTTACAATTTTCTGCCAACTATTCCTGATTGGTCCAGTTTTGATTCTAATGCTCATTAGTTTAATGTTTGTATTTCATATGAAAGTTTATACTTCTATGATGATTACCAGTTTGTTCAACTTTGCTATATCCTTGGAATCTTTAGGTTTAACTTTCTACTTTTTAAAATATCTCCATACCCTTGCTTTTTTGCTATCTCGTGCATCTGCTGTTTGAACTCTTGCATTCTCAGTGGACTTTTCTCTTTCGTTCTTGTTTCATTTCTTGTGGTAAATATATTGGTTAATGTGGTGAATGCGACTATGAAACTAAACTTATGTTTGAGTAAGTGCAGACGTGCCAATATCAGTGCCAAATCACTTAACTTTGAAGAAAGGTTTTATGAAAGTGGTTGGAATATCTGATTGTTCAGCATAATTGTGGGAAGGAGTAAACAAGTAAATTTTGAATATGCAGTGCAGGGTTTACTGAAATTTAACCTATAATTTTATGAGAATGGGAAATTAATAGAGGTAAATTTCTAAAATCCTAACATAATCAATCGCAGCAGTGGTCGTTCTCTAAACTAGATGCTCCATGCACCTACTGGACTGGTTTACACATTTCTGTTACTTGTATGTTATTTTAAGTATTTCTTTACATATTGAAATGTGTATCCCATGCGTCCATGTTAGTTTAACAAAGATTTCGTGTTGACTTTGTATCATGCAAAATCTGTAAAAATCGAAATTACCATTGTCCGATTTTTTCTTTTTAGGACTAGTTTCTGATAATACTACTGGTTCTCATTTAACTCTTATCATTTTGTGCAGGAGTGCATCAAGAAGCGGGTTGACACGCAGCACTCAATGACAAATAGTCCAATAGTGAAGATCNATATATATGGTATGCTTGTGACTTGGACTATGATCCTGGATTTTATGAATCAGCAAGAAACCTTGGATATTGAAGCCGAGCTAACCTTTTGGCAAAATCATCGAGGTCGTGACAGTATAGGTAGCTTGTTGGCATGTCCTTCTCATGTTTGTAGTCTACATTCGTTATCTGCTGATATAGTGATCGTTATTATTGAGGTTTGTCAATATTTTTGTAATCCGATTCTCCATAATCTCGAAATTGTTCACAATTAAAACTTTAAAGTAGCTTGCATTTGAAGATATTAGCGGTTAAATTTAGATATTGGTCAGGTTGAAGGGATTTATTTTGTTGATTCTATTAATGTTGGTTGGTTTGATTTGTGACCGATGAATAAGTTGTGACGTATAATTTTTTTTATTTGTGAACAATGAACAAATAGTGACATATACAATTTCTAAATTGTGACTGTAAAATAACTTGTAACCTATAAATTTTTTGATTTGTGATCGTAAAATAATTTGTGATTTATAAAATTTCTGATTTGTAACCAATGAAGAAATTGCGACATATAATTTTTTTGAATTGTGAGCGTAAAATAATTTGTGACATTTTGATTTGTGATCGAGAAATAAGTTGTGACAAATAATTTGATAATACGTGACCTATAAAATTTTTGATTTGTGACATCGAACAAATTTGTGATCTACAAAATTTTTGATTGGTGACCTACAAATTTTTAAATCCTTGATCGATAAACAAATTGTGACCTATAAAATTTTTGAGCTTTGACTTTAAAATAATGTGACCGAAAAATAATGTGACTAACTAAATTGTGAATCTGTGACCATATCATATAAATTTGTGACGGTCACGGGAATCGCAGTAGTCGTCGGACTGGCGTCGGAATAGTCATCGAAAAAGTCGGTAGGAACGTCGTCGGAAAATTCACCGGAGAAGAGTGGTGGCCGAAATAATCC